GCATTCAATATTTCCATAGCAACAAATTTGCCCAACTTTAATAATATTGAAGCCTTTGATTACTAACCACATTTTGCTTTTAAGACTCAATAAGGTCATTCATTTTGTGAAATGCGTTTGCCAGCTTTTTAAACGCAATTAGGATAGCATTTTAAATTGTGCATTTTAAACCGTGCATTCTCTACCGACCTTTCCAAACATCACGGCTGTATATCATCTTATTGATGAAATACAGCACATCTTTATCATAAAAGATTGGTTATTTCTTGTATACATTTTTCCCTGTTAAGTCGTTAATAGTGAGTATTTAGATGATCAGTCGTATTCAATTGATTTAGCGTTGAATTATTCCGTGATTAAAATTCAATCAAAATGAGATGTAAAATTGTTGTGAAAACCATTCATTGGCTGATGTTTGACAAGATGTAGTGTCACTAGGTAAGGTATATGTAAAATCGTCATTGATTTCGTTGTCAAAATGAAATATTATCCAGGTATTGATTATAAATCATGTAGACGAAAGTAGGTCAGAGCACAAATACAACAGATTCTTTAAATTGATACCATTGTATCGCTTTAGCCTTTTATAAAATAGAAGGTAATTTTGGAGTGCTGTAAATCACGATGTTCAAGTGTATTCATGCATTGCACAGTCAAAACAATTTTGAAGACAGTCGAGTCTGCCGAAGTCGACTCTGTATAAGTCGAAAATTCGCGTCAGTCGAATTTTTGAAAAAGTCCCAATTCTTTCCTATGTTATTACTGTGTAAATTGTTTGTTTAATTCGAATTTTCATAAGTCAAATTACATATATATCGACGGAATTTTCTGGTCCGGATAATTTCAACCACACAAGTTGAAGTTCCAAAATACACAGCCGTGGGAAAATACAAAGTTCAATCCTTGTTGTACGGCAACGAGTTAGCCATGTCAAAACTAACATCTTAGACAGCGCGCTGTGGAACTTGGCTCACACGATCGTATGTCATAAGTTGCAGTCTACTCTCACAATACAGACACCGCTCCAGACCGGCTCCAATGTTCAGTTTGTCGTCCAGTTCAGTTTGTAGAACTTGTATTGAACCCAAGATTGTTGTAGTCAGGGCCTAGCTATTTAATTAATTTATCAAAGCCCTTGATTCTTTTGACTAGGCCTAGCCTAGACTAGCCTATTACGCAAATTCAACCCATTATTTAATAATAATATGTACAGTACCTGTTGTTTTGCTGTACTGCTCAGTAAATTTAATTACAATAAAATTGATGCGACTTTTATATTGTTTTTGCATGCATTTCTTTAGGTCTGATTATGTTTTTTCAAGCACACATTCTTCGTTGGGCAATGCCATTTGCTGGTCGGCAGTCTGGTTGTAAACAGAATAGGTCGCGCCCCCAAAACTGTGTTTGCCCGCCAGCACTAGACATGTTCTTCGGCTGTGATGACGTCAGATCGCCCAAAGTTTCATAGTGCGTGACAGATAACAAGCTTGGTGTAATCAGAATGTTTTAATTAAACAAATTTATAAAGCAAAAAACAAAAAAACAAATAAGAAACCCTCATGGTATTAATTTAGATTCAAATCTAAATAAACCTAACAAATTAGATTTTATTCTCTACAAATTTCCGATTCCGCAATTAAATTAGCAACATGTTTTGAAAAGCGTCTTGAGTTTAAAGAATGAATGAGGTGCATTTGCAATTTACACTGACGAATCTAATGAATTTGAATTAGATGTCTACTGAAAAGAGTAACCAGTAGAAACTTGCTTTGTTGAGTTCCGTCTTTATTTCAGGTTGATTCCAAATGGTTTTTAAGGATTAAAAGCAAGAATATACACTACTGGTATATACTGGTATAATATATCTACTGGTGTGTCATGTTAATCAACAGATAATCTCCATGGCAATGCGAGTACAGCTAAGCGTCTGGTATGCTTGCCATTAAACGATGTCTATTTAACAATCGTCTGGTTTTTCCAGTGAGTGTTACCGTCCTAAATTGGACAAATCGTCCGAGAATCAAAATAGGGAGTTCATGTTTTCGGAAAGTATTTTATTAAAAGAAGAATAGGAATGATTTTGGGACTTAAAAAAATGTTCGGTTTTGCGTGAAATTCGATTTTTTGTGGGCATTGAGTACACATAGTATTGTTCTATGTTAATATTTTTTTTATTTTTTTTGAAATTGTGCAAGTCGAAATCTGTATAACTCGAAATTTTTATGCCAGTCCCATTAGATTCGACTTAGGCGGACTCAACTGTATATTCAGACAATTATTAGTAAAATAAAATAGAACATTTAAAATTATTAACTTAAATATTATTTATCAATCAAACATTGCATTGCTCTTCCAACAGTCGTTTGCTCGTGGTACCATTCCAAAAAAAAAAAAAAAAAAGATTTAACCTTCATAGTTTTACAGTTAACAAGTAGTTTAAAATAGCATTAACATTTCCTCCTCATAATTATTCAATATTTTCCTATTGATATTTTCATATGTTATTGATTTTAAAATCTACATTTTTCAACATGCATTTTCTTCATCAGCATTTCTCCATTAGTGTGTTTATCTCTTAAGATAGTCTGGAATTAAATATCCATATCTTAAAAACAAGATCTCACTCGCTGCTAGATTGAGTGATATTTTTTATCATTATTACTAGCTTTTGAATTTTATTTATTGTCAAGTTTTGTACACCCATGAAATATTATGATTGATATTTGATCTTTAAAGTGAAGTTTTCTTAATCCATAAACTGAATGTTTATAGTACAAGCAGCAAGAATATAACGACGACAAATTGTAATGTTACCGCAGGCAGGAGAGAGAGATATGAAATCACAAAGTTTATCTAGCATACTATTATTATCCTACTGTATGTCAAATGATTCTTTTACCTTAATAATCAGTCCTACCAAAATTACAGTACAACTAGTACAACTCTTTCTACAGATCAAAGTGTTGGATTGTACAGTAGGCCTACAACACACCTAAATAGATCCCAATCATTTGCTTGGTTGATTTTGTACCACGTGACCATCATTTTGCCTATTTCATCGCCCATCATTGAAATTTTGTTCCACCGTGCATTTTTTTTCTCATCCAAATCATCCAGTGCACATTGCCTATGGATACAAAATGATTTCAACCTAATGCAATTTTTTTGATTGGTTAAAAAAATGTGAGACTGACTTTTTCCGGAGGTTTTAAATCTATGAAAGGATGTCACACCACCTATAACCTTTCTCAGGCCTACTTCTTGCTGAACTTGTCTCAGCAGTGCACAATGTATCAGAGATTTTGTTTACTGTAAACAGCTGTAAAGTCTTTTAATTGATACCTCAAAACTAGCTCAAAGTTGGGCAAAATCTGTGCGGAATTTGGCTTATTATTTTCCGAAATGCACTGACGGATTTCCAGCCTAGCCCTGGGCCTAAGTTTTGCTCAGAGGATAGGCCTAGTCCAGGCTGGCTAGGCCTAGGCAGAACCGAACCGATCTGTTTATCTATTTTATCTACAAATAATGTAATTGTATTCGTAAAATGGAAGGAATATTTTCATTCGTTGAAAGATTGACTGTTCTATTCAGCTCAGCCTCGTTGAGTGGAACAGTCAAATAACTCATGAAAATATTCTTCCCATTGCACTTAATAAACATTCATTATTTGTATAATATATAAATTAACCAGAGATTTATTTAATTATTTGATGACCTCACCTTTGTATCAGTGGCACTCACAAACTGTGGTGCGGTCTTTCAGAGTACGTAAGAAATTTAAGAAAAACAATCTGAACTGAAACTAGCAAAATCAACAAAAAAAATAATACTGAATAGAAATATATACAGTGCATATGTCCTCATATGCGTGCATTTATAGACATGCATACACATACCGGACCGCACATAAATCTCAACATATAGATATAATATCTATATGCATACATGTATGTACATGCATATAAACAGAGATAGAATGACGACATAAAATCAGAAACCTGTAGGTAACATACTAAATCATACATCAAATGATGTATTCTTTTATGTTGTTTGTTTGTCAGTCCGACTCCCAGAAGGCTACCGTACAATCTTTTATCCCAGATACTCTTTTTACAGGTTAGAGGTTATGAGTTGATTATGAACATAGCTTATGATTCTTATCAAAGATTATAGAAAGGGAAGAGATTTATGTCGGCTTAAAAATGTTTCATGCCTGTAGTTACACCATAGAAGTGTTTCCATTGCAATACAATAGTAGTTCAGACAGAAGTACACCGCTGAGACTTCGTACTGAAATGGCAACGGGCACCCTCTCATAGACTGTTCCATTTTCTCTGTCTTTACGTTTTCAGAAGTAGCGGTAAATTACATGCAATTTGGGAGCGTTGCTTTAAAACAAAATTTTTTAAGTGATGTCCATATCAAACAACATTTCAATTTTTTATAGTTTAGGGGTGGAACTGTTTTTTATACACGAGAAATATATCCTGGAATCTCGGGGGATTAGAACCAAAGACCTCTTGTGATTGGAAGAAGGCAATCATTATAAACCACAACACTACAGATTCACTCTATAGTCTAAAATAAATATGATTATCAATATGTATTTTTCATATTATCTTTCTTTACTGTATGTCAATGTCATTTAACTCAATTAAAGTTCAATCAATATAATTACATAATGGTCAATGGTCGTATATTTACATAGCCCCTTCCACAGAAAACCGTCTCAAGGCGCTTTTGAAGCCAGAAGAAACAGACAAAAGAACGCGAAGGGGGGAGGGGGTGTACGCACCCCCGATTTTGAGATAGCGTCGCCATCACTACCGTGTACACGCAGGTACCTCAGCGTCAGTTTGCTGGGCTCCGGTAGCTTCCACCAAGGATAAGCCTATGGCTCCCCTACCGTGCACTGCTAAGTTAGCAGCGCTACCTCAAAAAATTAAAGTATAATTATATCATTAATTATATTTAATGAATCTATTTGGTTTCTTTTTTAGTTTTGATATTGAAAATGGCGCATCACCAAGTCGAAGCCCAGGCTTTGAGGCATCAAGTCCATCATCAGCGCTCGTGCTATCTGCAAACTTTCCACAAAGGAGGGAGTCATTTCTCTACAGATCAGACAGTGACTTTGACCTGTCCCCAAAATCTATGTCTAGGAATTCATCAATTGCTAGTGATACGTAAGTATATACTTTTTTTTCAAAAACAATTTGTTCAATTTATTGGATTTACGTCTATTAAAACATAATGCCAATGGAAATAAAATACATCAATGTTAGTGGCGAATTTAGCTGTCCCCCCCCCCCCAACTTGTGGAAAGTAAAAAAAATAATGTAAAAAAGAATGAAAGGAAGAAAAAGAAATAAATGATTGCCAAAAATGCCTCTAGAGGTTATTTTCGGACATCCAGAAAAAAAGGGGGCAGCAGCAGCTTAAGCCTTCCCCACCAGACAGGTCAAGCCCCCCCATCTGAAAGAGCTCGTCGGGCAGTTGGACTAAAAAATAATATAAAAATAGGTCCACGCCAAGCCAACACATGTCTGTCACAATCAGAGTTTGTCATTTCTGGCCACTGAGAGGTTCCTATTCTTAAAAAAATCTCATTTGGAAGGGGGAAACCCTTCCCCAGCTCAGGCCTACAAGCCAAAGTTTCCCCTGCCGGACAGCTCAGACCTCCCCCCCCCCCCCCCCCCCCCCAATCTAGAGGTTTTAATTGTTGCAGCCCGCAACAATTAAAATGAAAAACCCTTTGTGTAGCCGGCCAACTATCATTGGCTAGAAAACCACTTGTTTTTTACAGCCCGACACTGATCATCTTTGAAAAGTAATATTAGAACTGAACATAAACTGGTAATTAATATATATAAATGATTTAAGTGAATATTTTAATTAAGTTTTATTTGTCTGTCTTTCAGTACTACAGTAATTGTACTTGATGTTTATTGCAAACTGTAGACATGTTTATATTAAATGTATTGATTTTGATGTGAAATTGAAATGAGAGTGATACCTTTGTTATTAATTTCTGATAAACATCCCCTGGGAGATTTACTAGCATTGCAAAATCATGAATTATTAAAATAGAGAAAAAAAAACAAGAATTTACATTTAGATGATTGATGATGACAGATAGTTACATTAATTAATATTAATTTGTTATTATTACCCCGGTAATAATAATAAATTAGGCGTGAGCAACCCTCAAAACTAGCGTCGGCATTCGGCAATGTCAACATAGTTGCTGAGGTGCCCCAAACCCACAACATCGTTAATTTGCAGAGGCCTTTTTGTTGGCAAGATATAAGCTTAGAATGTAGCATAAATCCACTGTGAACGAAAAGTAAATCTTCTCACCGCGAATTCCTATTAGAATAACTGTAACTTACAGCTTCGATATTCTGCTGAATTGCGTATGGGCGTGGTCTGTGACTATTGTAGCAGCCGTGGAAAGGCGCTTAACAGTAGTTCGTCATCATCATTCAAATTTTCTGAAAGATGCAATGGGTTCTTTTTTTTTACCATTGAATTGTGTTGGCCGCAGTAACGGGTTAAGGTTTTACTGCTCGACCTCTCGACTCTCTGTGTGGGCACAGAATCGTATTAGCTTAGAAGGTCCTCAAATTGTAAATGTATTTGAACTGTTACATTTCGTCTTCATGCATTTTAGTCTTTTGTTACATTATTCAAGAAGATGTGTATAAGAGACAGCGCTACATGCTATCGCCGACAGCTTTCAGTCTGTCTCTTATACACATCTTAAATGATTTAAGTGAATATTTTAATTAAGTTTTATTTGTCTGTCTTTCAGTACTACAGTAATTGTACTTGATGTTTATTGCAAACTGTAGACATGTTTATATTAAATGTATTGATTTTGATGTGAAATTGAAATGAGAGTGATACCTTTGTTATTAATTTCTGATAAACATCCCCTGGGAGATTTACTAGCATTGCAAAATCATGAATTATTAAAATAGAGAAAAAAAAACAAGAATTTACATTTAGATGATTGATGATGACAGATAGTTACATTAATTAATATTAATTTGTTATTATTACCCCGGTAATAATAATAAATTAGGCGTGAGCAACCCTCAAAACTAGCGTCGGCATTCGGCAATGTCAACATAGTTGCTGAGGTGCCCCAAACCCACAACGGCGTTAATTTGCAGGGGCCTTTTTGTTGGCAAGATATAAGCTTAGAATGTAGCATAAATCCACTGTGAATGAAAAGCAAATCTTCTCACCGCGAATTCCTGTGTCCGGTACATTCATTAATGGCTGAAAACTGCTGAAACTCTAAATACAAAAACTGCTGAGGCACATCAGCAATTTTTTGTCGAGTTCCTTTCGTCCCAATTTCGAAGGCTGCGTGAGACATGCGCATTCAAAGTTGCTCTTATACTGAAGGAATAAAAATTCACGCATAAATATATACGTGTAGGCATATTGTAGTTTTCTAACATTCACCAGCCTTTCCTCTCCAGTCTAAATGCAGTATTCTTTCGCAAATATTTTAACTTATTGTAGCATAATTTTTTGTCATTGTCAGTTTGTTTCGTCTTGTGACACAGTGGCACAAAGTGCAACTCCCCCCCCCCCCGTAATCGTCACAGACTATTGTACTCAATTCCACAAAATTCTTCCAATTACCCATTTACACAATCAAAATTCACAGTGAAAGTTTTAACATCCAACCCAACTAAAATTGCAATTACTTCAATATACAGCTTGGTTTCCGCAAAATCGCTACATGCTATCGCCGACAGCTTTCAGTGATGCTGATTGGTCGGTCAAATTGGGGAGCATTACAGATTGCGCCGGGGACAGCTACGCAGTGTTGTAATGATTGCCGAAAACACTGTAACGATATTGAAAGCGATTTTAAAGCAACCAGGCTTTACTGCTCATCTGAAGCCATAATATTTTTTTATGCAAAATTTCCGGCTAAATTACATTAGGTAACACAATATAACTTTACTTTAAAGCTTAAGTGTGCATACGTCATTATTAACCTAAAAAATTGAAGATAAAAAATCGAGAAGTATGTTATTTAATGGTTGAGGCTTACTAGTATTGTATGTCTGCAGGAGGTTTTAATGTCTTCAAAATATATTGTAAATTAACCTGTGTATGAACGTACAGAATAGCAGATTTGATGTAATATCACTAAACATTGACTCTTATTGTTGAGTCTCAGTGGGCCTATTTTACTACAACTTGTAAAAGAAGCATTTCTTCTATAATTGGTTGGGAGTCAAATTTCCAAACAAAGGACACATTGCAACTCACTTGATTCCATTAAAGAAGAAATTATATTTGGTGTGTGGTGTATGAAACTGTCATCATCATTACTGATAATGCAATTTTCAGCGGAAAAAGCTCAAAAAAAAAATCCTAGTTTCTATTTAACCTTTCTCAGTGGTGGATTCAAGGGGGCTCCACCCCTCTCCCATCATAATTGTTTATTTCCGGCCATCTATTGAAGAGCCCCAAACCATGGTGGGATTGAGGTACAGTAACTGACCCTCTATCTGTAACATGTCCCTCTCTGGGCCCCTTCTATTTCAAAATTTCTGGATTCCGCCAAAAGTGGCGTAACGGCTAAGAGCTCTCAATGGCTAAAGCCAGGGCCATAGAGCCTCAAGGGGCCAGCAGCAAATTAAAATATTTTTTTTTTAACAAATAAAAAAGCAAGGCCCTTTTCTAAGCCAAGTCTGACGAGTGATTTGGGAATTTTTATTATCATCACTATCGCCAGTCTACATTTTGTTGAAACTTGAAAAACTGGCGCGAGTATGTTAACTATGAGCAAAAGCATTGACACACATGTGTATGATAAAAATGTTTTTGTCCATAAATAATTGATTTTAGTTGGTTCGTTTTGTATGGTATTTATTGATTTATGTTTATTAGTAATATGTTAGTTAAAATTAAGTATGCTCCTTTTGGGTCAAATCACGATACATAAACTTAGAATTTGAATGTGGTAAGAAGGCATTAAAATACGTCATAGAACGCTTAAATTATCAGAGCAGCTGGGGATCCTTCGTATCCTTGGTGTCTGGGGCCCTAAATGGCCCCTGCCCCGGGGCCTCTGCCATCTTCATTCCACCACTGGTTCTGCAACGGATATAGAACTGCAATGTTTTTTTTTTGCACGGTGATTTGTATTAATCATGCTTTCTTTGGGTAGTGATTAACAAGCTTACCATGCTTCCCATGTAATTACTAAACAACTCAAGATTAATATGTGGGGAATTAGGAGAGTGATTATCAAAACAACCAGAATGACAACAGAGGCAATGACTATGCCTAGAGCTCTAGTAAGAAGGCTGAGTTAATGCATCATGTGGGTAGACGACAATTATATATTATCTGTTTAAATAATATATGAATCTCTTTTATTTCCTGATTAATAACGCCTCCCAGTAATGGTCTACACCCACTATTATATTAATAAATGTTAATACCGTATGTAAACTGGCTGATGATCATGCTTCGCCGAATAATTTTAAAACTGTGGTTCCAGCTAAAACGTGCGCCATATAACTTTGTAAAGTATTAGAATAACTGTAACTTACAGCTTCGATATTCTGCTGAATTGCGTATGGGCGTGGTCTGTGACTATTGTAGCAGCCGTGGAAAGGCGCTTAACAGTAGTTCGTCATCATCATTCAAATTTTCTGAAAGATGCAATGGGTTCTTTTTTTTTACCATTGAATTGTGTTGGCCGCAGTAACGGGTTAAGGTTTTACTGCTCGACCTCTCGACTCTCTGTGTGGGCACAGAATCGTATTAGCTTAGAAGGTCCTCAAATTGTAAATGTATTTGAACTGTTACATTTCGTCTTCATGCATTTTAGTCTTTTGTTACATTATTCAAGACTATATTGCAGGCCCATATCCTGGAGGGTGTATTATTGCATGCATATTTTAGTGATGGTCGGACCATTGGAAATGGCATATATGCAGTACACGTAGTTAAAGCGTACAAGCTTGGTGGTCTAGTGTTGAGAAACCAGGCTAGAATAAATATCTGGATGTCGTGTGTTCGATTCCCAAGCGAATCACTTGCAAGATTTTTTTTTTTTTTTTTGCAAGAATTTGGGAACGTACTAAGCATCATGGTATGATCACATGTCAGGTATAGGAAAACATCATTCCTATTAAATCTCCTGTCATAAAAACCATCAAAATAGGCAAACAAACAGACAGACATTGAATGAACTGAAGTGAACAGATTTTCTTCAACGACAGGCATCAAGTCTTGATATCCATTTTTATATTTTTGTTTTTCCATTGATAAATGTTATTCATGTACAATAAAAGGCTCCCCATAAGCATAGCAGTCGCTGGAACCTACACTACACAGTGAGTGGGCGATTCATCAAGAATTCGCTTAGATTATTGCACCTTTTTCATTCAGAATTGTGTGCAAATATATTTAAATCAGTACAGTACTCTCTCCTTGAATAAATTTGTCCTTGAAAGAACACTTATGCTATTCTAAATTACTAGCTCTCCATATGCATTCCAAGATTGTCTTTTGAATAGAAACAAGAAAATTCTTTCACATAATACTTGGGTCTATAAGATTTAGGAAATACGTATCACTTTTTTCAGTGTTTTCTACAGGTAATTCCCTTTTTTTTTTCTTTGCAATATATAGTGATTTAAGATTGGGGGCAGATCCAGTAGGGGGAATGGCAGGTCCCTCCAATTTTCCCACTGAATTTTAAAATTTCAATGCATATATTGAAATCCCATTTTCCCACTGAATTTTAAAATTTCAATGAATATATTGAAATTAGTGCTACTCAGTTATATGATTCTAAATACGTTGTGTCCCCCTCCCCCCTTTAAATAATTACTACTTTTCAGGGGTTGCGCGGACACATTTTTGTTGGTGATGCAATAATCACCAAATCAGTACACAAAAGGATTAAAGTTCATTCATCAGAAATATGATCATTGTATTACAGGGGTTCCAATTCTCCCAAAAGTTGGGGGGAGTCCCTCAGATATTGAGGCAATCGCCCCACAATCCCGGGAGCAATCAAAACCTAAGCCGGGCACTAACTTTGCCCGACAGTCATCGGCCGATGCGATTCTATGAAGAACTCAATGCGACAACGCGCGCGCAACAGATCTTTTTTAACGACGATCCCTTCAGTCTGGCACCGACAATCAGCAAACGGCGTCACGTTTGCTCACAGGAGCAGAGTTGGTTACATAGTGCAACGGTCGTATGACCGTCATTCATACCATGCGGGGATTGCCCGGCTTAACCGAGGTCCTGCAAATTCATATTTGCATGATTTATTAATCGTAGAACTATTGTCTTTCTAAAGTCAGCTGCCATCATGCAGCAACATAAAGTTAGATATTGAAAGCTCAATAAACTCATATTTTCTAAAAGTAGGATCTTTTTTACCCTTGGTTCTCATTAGCCAATGAGGTTTACGAGTAAAGTTATGGTTTTTAAGAAGTTTTGATCACTATTGTTTTTTTTTTATTTTCATCAATTTTCCAGACATAATAATGAAGATGTTATTGTCACACCTTTTGCGCAAATTCTTGCAAGTCTACGAAATGTACGAAAAAACTACATCGCGATTACTGGAGTACCCGCCAGCTCAAACAGGTGAGTGTCTTGTCTTTCGATTAATGCAGTTATTGGAATCTTTATTAATAAAAGCACTTCACAAGAAATATATTAGCAACAGAGACTAAATTAAAGTATTTGTACAAAATTGAAATTTTACAAAAAGACATATAAGATTCAATACAAAATAAACATTAAGATTCATTCAAAAATACTTGAAAATGCATTATAGAAATATATTGAAATTCATTAAAAGTAATACATAAAATTCAATACAATAACCAAAAACCAGAATTTCTGAATTTTCAAGCAAAAATGTTTAGGGAATGGGACTATTCTTTAAGTGTTCCATCTTATAAGAAGAGAATTCTTGTATTTTCTTTTATTGCGTTGTTTCATATTGAGATATTAGTCTTTCTTTGACATCTGTGATTAAATCTATTACTTCTACTCGCTGACCTTTTTTGTGCTCTGTTGGTTTTATTTATTAATTATCTAATTTATTAAATGTCAAATTTATTAAATGTCAAATTGACGAACCCTCTTTGGTACCGCACTTTTATCAGTCAAACTGGCCCAGAAAACCATTGAAAGAGGCAGTGAATATTCTTACACCAGCTTTCAAACAAATTATGAATTTTGAATGGATGTTATTGTATAAAACAATTGGATTACCAGAATAACAAACATCCAGAGGTGACGGAACTAGGGGGTGCTGTGTTATGGAGAGTAACGTGTGACCGGAAATGGTCTGCAGTCAGTTGGTTGTTACCATGCGCCAGTGATGTTGGTGTATATAGTACAGCAATATGAAACTATTATGTAGGCCTAATGAATGAATAAATTTCGGAGTTTGTCGGGTAGTGAAATGATTATTTCACATTTTAAGTGCTCCCTAAATTCGTAAGTGGAAGCTAAATTACAGTGATTAATTTAATTAGCGAAGATATGGAGACAATTATTTCGAATCCCTCTTTCCAAGAGGGGGATGCAAATGATGCTTTGTGAAAATGAGTACGCCGCGGTACTCATTTTCAAAAGAAGTACACACAACTAGTTAGCTAATAATTATGTCAATGTTACATGAACACCTGGGAAGGAAGGTGCAATCACGTTACCTAGCAAACGTCTGTACTGTATGGGGGAGGGGCTCCTGATGTACTGTGTAGCGGGGGACGATGTGGCATAAGACTAGGTCTAACTAATACAGTGGAATTATATGTGATAGAAAGTACACTTTCGGAAGAAATAATTTAAAAAAAGAAAAAAATAATAACTATGAATAATTCATTTGCAGAGGTACCTTATTTAAGTATTATACAATGCATCTAACAATGCGGCTCTTGTAGCCCTGGCTTGGGCAAGGCATCCATGTGCAAAGCAGTGGTGTTTGTTTATCCATGAAAAAAGCACGCCGGGAAAGTTTGCCTTACTAGGAAAAGGTGACGTATTTACCTTATGACGTATGCATGCTAACTAACGTGAGAGTGACGTCACCAAAAAATGAATATTTTCTATCATAACCAAAATATTAATAACTACAAAGTTTCTGGGCGTAAATTCCCTTAATATGAATGAAGGGTTGCTCAATCTCCTTGCCATACAAATCTCCTTG